CAATTGATGTTCCTGGTAAATTTGTATTATAATGGAATTTCTAACCAAATAAATTAATAGTTGAATGAATAATAATAATATATATGTGTAAATTTTATTAAAGGTCGTGTGGGATTAAAGAATTTGGGAAATACCTGCTATGCAAGGTGAAGATTTAATATTAGGTTATATTTAAATTTAAAAAGTAAATTTACCAATTAATATTAATATAAATTTTGTAAACAATTTTATATGTAGTGCTGCTCTTCAATGTTTATCTAATACGTAATGTTAATCATCATTATTATATATAATATTTATTAATATCCATTTCATATTGAAAACTATGTATATGTATAGTTAATTGTATGTTTTTTTTTTTTTGGTTTTTTTTTGTAGGCCATCATTAACAAATTATTTTAGTTATTGTGAATCCTATATACCAAAATTTCACACTAATACAAGATTACATGAATATAAATTAGCTGAAAGGTTTCACAGGTTTTTTAGATCAATGTGGAATGGTAACAGGTTAGTTAATAATGAATTTAGTATATATATTTTATAGATGAATAGCATAGACTATTTCAAGTGGGATCAAATTTGAGAATTGGAGCAAAATTAGTTAGAGATTGAAAATTATATCCTCTTTTCTTTTGGTTTGTTTTAATGATATACAGTATATATATATATGATAGTAAATGACAATAATTTTTTTTGTAGCACATTATATTCTCCAAGTGATTTAATTGACGAGATAAAAAATTACAATGAAGCTTTTCGAGGTTATGGACAACAGGTTTATTGATTATTAATATTATTATGGTAAAAGTAATAACAATATTTATTTATTTACCATGTTATTCATGGTATTTGTATTATAAAGGACTCTCAAGAATTTCTTCGTTGTGTACTGGATATACTTCATGAAGAACTTCCTTACCCACAAAATACTATATCAAATAATCAAATAAATGAAAATACAAACAACAACAACAACAACCAGATAGCAAAATCATCAAGTTATGCTAGAAGCAACAATAGTCATAATTATAATAGTACCAATGATGTATATGAGTCATCATCTTCTGCTTTGATCACAGCAAATAATTTTTCTGATATTGTTGATAACCACTCACTTTCTACAAGTGTTATAAGTAATATTTTTCAAGGGTTGCTTGAGAGCAAAATTAGATGTTTAAAATGCAAAAAGGTTTGTTTAATTTTTATTATTATCAACATGAAAATTACAATTTTATTTTATCTTGGGACATAATATACAAATAAATATAAAAACTTTAGGATTATTTCAAGGAAGATCGATTTTATGATTTATCAATTCAAATAAATAAAAAATATAAATCAAGAAATATTGATAGTGCTTTATCTATGGGATTGTTTGTTGGCACATTAAAAAATGCTCTTGGGTAAGATATTATACATTACATGTATCTAACAATATAAAAATTACATAACCAATAATTAATATTTTTAATGTTCATTACTAGAATTGGTGGTCATAATGCAAGCCTTCATGATTGTCTAGCAGAATTTTGTGCAACTGAAAATCTTGCAGGCAAAGATAAATATCAATGTGAACAGTGTAAATCATTGAATGATTGTCAGAAAACACTTAGGATTACTCAATTACCTGAGGTTTTTTTTCCAAAAAACATATATGTATACACATACATTTGTGGATACATGCATATATATATATTTACATATTTATACTACCAAAATAGATTCTTTGTATTCAACTGAAAAGATTTCACTTTGACCCATATGTTTCATCAAAAATTGCAACACATGTCCAATTTCCAATGGAAAATTTGGACATGAGACCATATTGTAAGGAATCAGTATCAAAGGAAAATTGTGATAGTCCAGGTATTAGTGAAAAACGAGAATCATTAAAAGTTACTAAATATGATTTATATGCATTAATTCATCATCGTGGTGGCTTAGCTGGTAATATATTCAATATATATATTTCCTTCTTCCTTAACATATTAGATTCCAGGAATTTGTCACTAATTTTGTTATTTGATTTATTTAGGTGGTCACTATATTGCTTATGCCAAAAATCCCATTGATGGAAATTGGTATGAATTTGATGATATGGTCAGTTATTCTCCTTACTAAATACTTTTAATTTTAAATATGTTGATAGGAGATTAAAATTATTGTAATTACTGCTATTGTTTCAGTTTGTCACTAAAAAATCTGCTGATGAGATAATGAAGATCGAAGCTTATATATTGTTCTATAGTAAAAAAAATCCTGAAAAAGATCAAGAGAGAGTATTAATCCAGAATCTAATAAGGAATAATGTATGTATTTGAATTTAACTAAACATGGGTTTTTAATTAAGGAAAAAAATAATCACTCCTTCAGGGTAGAAGTTTGATTGTAATTAAATTATTTTTTTTTAGTCTGAAATTTCTGAAAATGGAACACATTGTTGGGTTTCAAGATTATGGTTTAATAGATGGCAATTTATGATGACAGTAAGTTGATTAATTATTAATTATAATGTATTACTTTCATTTTTGAATTTAAATAATAATATTATTATAATTAGCCTGGTCCAATTTCAAATTATGATTTCATGTGTTCACATGGAGGTGTGTATTTTCTTCTCATGCAATACATTCACAATTAACATTTATAATTATACTTATGATACCTTTTCATATTGAAGGTATCCTAAATTACATGATATGGTAGTAAAAATACCAATCAATGTTTATTCAATGCTGGTCGACAAATATGGAACTGATGGTAGTCCACCATTGCTTATATCTGATGTTGAATCGGCAGGATGTTCTATATGCCAGGTAAATTTATTACTATTGTTAATATGGCTGGTGTTATTATTATTATTATTATTATTATTATTATTATTATAATAATTGTTTTGGTAAAAAATAAAAGCAACAAGAAAGATTAATGGATAAAAGACGTCAAAAGGAAGCTCGTGATATTCAACAAT